GTTAGACTCCAGGCCGGAAGGATGTTAGCTGGGGGTGTTTCAAGCCCTTTCATTTCCTCCCTGACAAATAAAAGGAAAAAAAGAAGCCACAGGGAAGGGTGGAGAATGTAAGGGCAGGTGACAAGAGATCACTGTTGAAACGGAACAGCAAACATTCCAGGACTGAGGCCATGAGTGAGGTAAGACGCAGGAGAGACAGAGCCCAGGGCCACTGGAGGGAGGGATGGGGGCAAAGTTTTGCTTTTATGCCCCCAGGTCCTACACCCTCTTCCCCAACCCTATCCAGCCTCCAGAGACCTCCCCATGAAACAGAGGAGGGAGTTAGAACCAAGCCCCAACTGAGTGATAAGCAATCTTTTTTTTTTTTTTTTTTTGTCACGGTCAATTTTTTGACTTTGAAAACAAAACCTAGGGCTCTGGTATATTTTGGGGGTATTAGTAGAAAAATCTGCTTATTAAAAAAATTTTAAATAGCAGCCTTATAGTTCTTCTTGCATACTGGAAAATAAAGAGCCAAGATTTGACATGCAGGTGAGTGAAAACAGACACCCCTTCATTGTCTGTTTAGTGGAGCTTCCCCAACTGACGATGGTGTTACGTCCCAACATACCCATCTGAAAGGGAAAATATTGTCAATTGAAAATGCATTTCACGCACCTAGCCAAGGGAACATCACAGTTGCGCCTCACCAACTTAAATGTGCCCAGAACACTGACATCAACCCGCAGTTGGACAAACTCATCTAACACAACCCTCCTTTATAATGAAGCTTTGGATATCTCCTGGCCCTTGTCGAATACTGTACTCAAAGTGAAAAATGCACACGGTGTGATGCAAAAACCACCATCTCCAAAAAACACAATACGCTGTAGGCTATTGCTCCCCCATGATCAGGGAGCTGACTGGGAGCTGGGGTTCCCTGACACTGACCAGCACCGCGAGAGAGGCCTGGGCCACCTATCACTGCCCAGGAAGAGACTGACAGTCAAAATCCCACGTACAGGGCCTCCCTGGTGGCGCAGCGGTTGAGCGCTGGGTTGCGAAGCTGCCCGCAGCCTCTGCGGCGCCGGTTTGATCCCCGACTGCTCCCCGGCCACCGCAGGAGGGTCCCACATGGCGCTGCTCTCCTCAGCAGTGTACTTCGGTCCTTCTGCCTGCTCTGCTCCCCGCTCTGGCTCTGGTGAATTCTCTCACCCTCCCGCGCTTCTGACTGTGCCCAGTGCATGTATAAACAAAAAACAAACAAACAAATAAATAAAAATAAAAACATGCCTCTATAAAAAAAAAAAATCCCACGTACAGATTCTAGGGCATGCCAGGCACTTTCACCCCATCTTAAAGCTGAAAAGTCCTAAGTGGAACCATCAGCCCCCAGGGATGCACAAGATGGTTCCCTGAAAGGTAGCCTGACTGGACTGGGGTGGGGACAGGACATATGTTAATTGAATATTACTGGGTCTTAAGCACCAGGGATATAAAAGAATGAAATGCAGGCTTTGCTCCTACAGAAGAGACAAACAGCCAGTTATAACATGGTGAGGTGATGTGATGTGATGTGATGTGATGTGATGTGATGTGATGTGATGTGATGTGATGTGATGTGATGTGATGTGATGGAATGTGATGGAATGTGATGGAATGTGATGGAATGTGACATGATATGACATGACGTACAGTGAACTGCGTTACAAGTCACACAAGGGAGGGAGTTACTAGCTATGTTTTCAGGCGAGGTAGGTTGGGGAGGACGTCACAAAGAGGTGACACTTGAGCATGCATCTGAGGATGACTGGAGAATGGCCAGGTGAACAAGATAAAGAAAAGCATTCCAGGGAGCCCACAACTGAATGTGATAAAGCAAAAATGCACCTCTGAGAACTGTAAACTGTTTGCCATTCCAGCGGAATAGGCAGCAAAGCAGAACAGGAGCCCAAGATGGACCTAGAGAGACCAGACATGCAGTGACTTTGAATTTGAACTTGTGGGCAATGAGGTGCCACCTGAAGACCACACATGAATGCACGGATGGCGTGGCAGCAAATGGATCAGATTTGTGTTTCAGAAAGAAGACTTGGGTGGTCATGTGGAAGGTAACCCGGAGGCAAGGTCAAGACCGGAGGTCTGAGACCAGTGAGGCTGCTAGAAAATTCTAGGCAAGAGAACTAGCAGAGACAACATAGGACTAAAGAAAACTGAGTTTGATTTCTTCTTTCCCTGGTGGTTCTTGAGACTGACAACCTAGTGGCAGCACCAACTTTTTAGCTCACCTGCTATTTAGAGCATCCCCTAGCCCAGCTCACCTCTAGGGCAACCCCCAAAAGGGTAGGATCTTAAAATGCTTGGCCATGAGACTCCCCCAGGTTATAGGCCAGGTCCTTGGGGGCTCAGGAGGGTCAGAGTCTACAACCTGGTCTCAGCCAGGAGGGGATATAGCGGGGTGGGGGTGCTGTTCCTGACATTCACTAGCCTGCAAGGAAACCTGTTCTGCAGGAAGGGCCTGGACAGGGAAGGGAAGACAGAGAAGGATCTGGGGCTGTGCAGGGAAAAGAGGGAGCAGCTTGTTCCCGGTGGGTTCACTCTCAGTCCAGACAGATGGTGGATCATCTCCCCCCTCATTATCATCTCAAAGGGGGAAGAAAGGGGCTGTGTGAGCTGGCTTCTCCCCCTTTAACAACTTCTTCCTCTCAGGAGACAGTTCACACAATGAAGGAGGGCCTGACCCAGGCAGCCCAGGCTCTGCCAAAGCTGGCCAGGGACAGCGGGGCTGGAGCGCCACCTGCTGGCCACCGTGGGAGCAGGGCCACTGCCTCTCTCCGGAACTTGGCAGAGGAGGGTTTGGAACTAAGCCAGTTAGCATCCCTTCGGAGAAAACTGGGAATGTACTGAGATTCAGAGTGGTTAGTAAGTTCCTGAAGAACATAGGATGGAGTTCTGTATGAGAAGCTGATGTGTCTGCAAAGAGGAAGTCTCCATCACAAACACCCCATGGTTGCAGAACCAGCTTCTAGGTGAGTTCATGAATCTCTCTTTCTCGATTCTTTTCTTACCCACTGAGGGGCAGGAATAACATTGCTGTTCCCAAGGCATAATTAAAGTATGGGCATCTAAGGTATGACTGGAATAGATCAAGATGCATTCAGTGGCCAAAATCACATCCCCATCGATGGGCTCATCCTGAATTAAGTCACGCATGGGTCATGCCAGGAGATTTGAAGGAATGAAACCAAAATGAGAATGTTCCCTGGCTAAGGCCATTCATTGCCTTACAGACACGTTGACTGCGCCCTCACACACCCGATGGGTTGGGGACCAGGGGGGACAGAGATTAATTAAGATCCAACTTAATCACTCAGGAACTCATGCGGAAGACTGAACATCACAAAACCCTGGTGCTGTGGGGGTAAATCTTAATCCCTTCTCCCAATACTGGGCTAGTAGAGAGCAAACAGGCATGCCCACAGGGGCTGTGGCGATGACACACACACAGAAGGTCACAATGACCTGCAGCAAATCACACCTCAGCAGCACTTACTGTCTACCAGACAGATCCGAAGCACTCGGCTATTAACTCCACCCACACTTATAACCACAGGGTGGCTATTCTTATTATTCCCATTTTAGGTGCTGTTAACTTACAACAACCATATAGCTACTATGGGGTAGGAATGGGGTGTGCACCTAAAGGGCCTAACTGAAGTCTCTGTTCTCAATCATGGGCAGCATATAGCCGCTAATGCAATCCACCTCCTTACAGGAAATAACTTTCCTGACAAACAGGGCTTTTTTAAATTTAGGTATAATTGACATGTAACATCGTGTAAGTTTAATTGTACCCCATATAGATTTGCTACATTTATATTGCAATAGGACTGCATTGTAGCTTTAGCTATGGCTCTCTCTTACCACATCATTATGATTTTTTTTTTTTTGCGTGAGTACAATTACAATCTAGTCTCCTAGCAAATTTAATGTTTATAATGCAGTTTTGTGGTCTATAATCACTGTCCCGTTATCAGATCGCCTGGACTTATTTATCTACCAGTTGCAAGTATATACCCTTGAATAGTAACCCCCACCCACCCCTGCACCCCCTGCCTCTGTAACCACCCCTCCCTCTCTGGTTTTTGCAGTTTGGTTTATTTAGAAGCCACATAGAAGAGTTATCTAGCAGTATTCCTGACTTAGTTTCTAAATACTCCCCCATCACATATCACTGAAAACTCTGACTGGGCCACAGGTAACATAGTCAGCTGAGAACACTCAACATCAAGGTCAGGCGCTGGGCTAAAAAAAATACAGAAGCCTGCAAAGGCCACAGAGGCATTTTGGTTACCACAGATGGGCAGAGGGATGGACAGGTCAGGTCAGAGGGCCTGGAAGTAACACCTCTGCAGAAATTAGCCCCTAAAGTCAGGACCTGAAGATGATGTTTCCAGCAGCACAGAGCAGAGGGGCTGCAGGCTGCAGAGAGGAGCCTCGAGCAAGCAGCAGGACAGGAGATGATGCAGACTGGGCCAGAAAGAGGACAGGCACTCAGCAGCCCTGGGGACAGTGAGGTGATTTCTTAGCAAGGAAGTAGACTGATGTCTGAGCCTGCTGAACAAGCTGTGATTTGACTCTGCTGACTGTGTATTACAGACTCTAAGTGTTTCCTGCTCCCAAGTGCAGGCTCCGTGGCTCCCAGCCTGGCCTGCCTTCTCCAGGAATGGAGAGATGCACGGAGAGTCAGAGTGTCAGGCATACGTGACCTGGAGGCATTCATTCCTGCTTTTAATGCACACTTACTGGGTGCCCACTATGCGCCACAACCAGGTGGGACGTGGAGGAGAGTGTGGCAAAGTGGGTGGCACACACCTGGCTCCCCGTAGCAACAAGGTCAAGGTGAGTCTCCTTCCCTCCCTCCAGTCTCCAATACCACGGAGTCTAGCCAGGCCAGAGCTGAGCTCAGCCCCTGGCCTCCCTTGCCCCTCAGTGGGGGGCACCCATAGATTCCTGCTTACCAGTCGGTGTGGGCATCATCGATGACCAACAGGACCCTGGGTCTTTGAACAATGGGCGTGGAGGGGCCTGGTGGCTCCATCAGCCCTGAGGGGGTCTGCAAGCTCTGCTTCATGGCACTGGAAAAGGAGCTGAACAGGCTGGACCCTGGTGAGGAGAAGGAGGCCGCCAGGGGTTGGGGGTGCCTTCGCTCCATGGCCGGGGACGCAGGGGAGCTGGTGGAGCTGTCTGGGCGCTGCAGGTCCGTCATGTAGCCATTGGGCAGGTTGGCCACGAAGCTGCTGTCCGAGAGGCGCCGCCGGAGGAAATTCATGGCTGCGGATGGATGGATGGCTTGTCTCTACTCAGATGTGTCCAGGTGTGCCCAGGACAGAGGCAGCAGGTAGAGGGGGTGGGAGGGTCTTGGACCAGAAGAGCAGGGCAATCTTGCACCTGCTGACTTCTGTCTGCTGTCTTTGCTTAACCTGTGGGGACAAACCCATACATTAGTGAACGAGACTTCTACCTCCTCAAGGGCAAATAGATATGGCCCCTTCCAGTCGTGCTGCTGGGGCGATGCAAATGGGGGCCTCCTTTTGGAGAGGAATTTGGTGAGTGTAATTAGAGCACATCCTTTTAGCTTACAGTTTTCATTATTCTGGGATTCTATCCCAAGAAAGGAATCTGAGTTACAAAAAAAAGCCTCCTGTACAAATATATTTATCATAACACTATTTACAATAGCACAATACAATAACACTATTTACAATAGCACAATACCACGGTCAATCACAGGACAATGAACAAATAAACTACAACTAGTCACTCGGTGGAAGCTTCTGTGGCTATTAAAAAGGGGCACTTACAAAGAAATATTAGTAATGTCAAAAAAAAAAGCCACATTTTAAGTTAAATTTAAAGGGTCATGACCCAAAAAGGTAGGCTACAGGATGACTACAACCACATAAAAGTTGAAATAACAGAAAGAAAATGCGTCAAAATATTAACAGTGACTTCATTTGCATAATGAGATTACATGACTGTTTATCTTTTTCCTTTCACTTACTTGTATTTTCCAGATATTCTAGAATACATATTTCTATGGACTAAATTGGGTTCCCTGCCCCAAATTCGTATGTTAGTTGTGTTTTTTTTTTAAATAAATGCACTAGATCAAATAGCGACAGCTCCCTAGTAATCTTAGTTGATTGAATTTTTATCATGAATGGAGATTGAATTGCCAAGTGATTTCCTAAGTATTTGAGAGGATTATATCTTTTTTAAAAACCACTTATTTGCTTAATGTAATGAATTACACAAATTTTCAAATGTTACACCAAACTTGCACTCCTGAGACAAATCCTACTTGGTCATAGTGAGTTATCCTTTTTATGTATTGTTTAATTCAATCTGATAATGTTTTGTTGAGGATTTTTATGTCCCTACTCATGAGAAATAGTGTTCTATAATTTTCTTTCTTCGCAATGTCTTTGCCAGGTTTTGCTATCAGGGTAATGCTGATATCACAAAATATATTAGGAAGTGTTTTCAAGTTTTCTATTTTCTGAGTTTATGTAATATTGGTATTTTTCCCTTAAATTATTGGCAGGAGTCAACAGTGAAGCCATCTGGGACTGATGTTTCCTCTGTGGGAAGGTTTTTTTAAATAATGAACACAATCCCTTTGATAAATCTATTTATAATCTGTGTTTCTTGTTATTTAAGTATTGGCAATATGTGATTTCAGGCAATGTCCCCATTTCATCTTAGTTGTGAAATGCATTAGCATAAAGTTGTTCATTATATTTCCTTCTAACCTTTCATTTTCTGTAGGCTCTATAGTGATTTCTCCTGAACTTCCTAATATTGGAAATTTATTTTTCTTTTTGATTCATCTGCGTACTAGGAATTTATAAATTGTATTAATCTTCAAAAATACATAGTTTTAAAATTTTTCTCCACTGTTTTCTATGTCACTTAAATCTGCTCTTTATTGCTTCTTATTTTGGGTTTAAGGGTTCATTCTCTGGATTCTTTTTTTTTTTAAAAAGATTTATTTATTTTTATGCATACAAGAGCTGGGGTACAGGCCAGAGGTGGGGGCGGGCGGTGAGAGGATTCACCAGAGACAGAGTGGGGAACAGAACAGGCAGACTGACTGAAATACACTGCTGAGGGGAGCAGCGAGCGAGTCAGGAGAGGTCTGCTACACCATGTGGGTTGCTTCCTGGCCAGCCAGGGATGGAACTAGTGCTGCAGAGGCTGCGGATTGCTTCATAGTGCTGTGCTTAACCTCTTGTGCCACCAGGGAGGCCCTGTTCTGTGGATTCTTACGATGGAAATGGGGACCATTAATCTGAAGTCTTCTTGTCTAATATAAGCATTTAAAGAAATGCATTTCCACCTGAGCACTGCTTTAGCTGCATCTCAGAAATGTGACCCATATTTTCATTATTATTTAATTTAAATTATTCTTAATTATTTGAGATTATTTTTGACTCATGTCTCATTTAAACATGTTTAATTTTCCAATTCTTCTGCTCTTTCAGATATGTTACACTCATTGCTTTTAATGTGATTCATTGGTGCTTAATGAACATAGTCTGTAAGATTTAAAAACTGTCATCTCTGACATTTATTGAGATTAATTTTATGGCTCAATATGTTCTACCTTGATGAATGTCCCATTTGCACTTGAAAAGAATGTGTATTTTGCACTTGTTGGGGATAATGTTCTATAAATATCAATTAGATTGTTGTAAGTCAGGTTCCCCAGCCAGGAAGCTGTTTTGTCTTGGTGATTTGCAAGCAGGAAGCTTCTCTTCAAGTGCTCCCATGATTAATAACCATGGGTGAGTATGAAGAGCAGAAATGGGCTGAAAGAGGGATTGAACTATAACACAGAATTCACACAGACTCAGTTGAGTTTACTGGAAACAAGGAACTGGGCATCTCTTTAAATGTCCCCATTTTCCAGGCATTCTGACTTGTTAAGCCAGTAAAATGGCTACTCTTGGCTGAAGGTCTAGCAGCTACTGGTCATGTGGACCAGGGGTGCTTTCAGAGAAGAAACGCCAAGGCAGTGGATCTTCCTAAGTGGTGCAGGAAGTTCCCTTCTTCAGCAGTCAAATACCCTCTCGATTCTACCAACTATTTAATTCGTTCTAGGACTCGCAAATAGTTTCTTTTAAATATTTTATTTAGAGTTTTTCATTATCACCTATGAACAGATGAGTCCAACACAAGGTTGAAAGAACTCAACCTCTTTCATTTTGGAAATACTAGGTAGAAAAGTCACCAAAATGCTAGTTATCCTTTGCCCAATTCCAGTGTTGGTCAGAGGCTTGCCCTGTAACTTCTCCCCACCACAGGGCCCAGTGGAGCTTACAATCTGGTTAAGAGAAGCAGATCATGAACAAGTGAGCAAATATTTATGAGTTGGGACAAATGGTTGGGAGGAACACACAAAGCGCTAGCATAGAGAGTAATTTGGGGAGGGTCTTCAGACAGGGGGATCAGAGAGGGCCTCTCTGAGGAGGTGACCTTTAAACTAATTAATGAAGGAGCAGCGAGGGAGAAAAGCATGTTCAAAGGCCTTGTGGTTGGCAAGAGTAGGGCACGTTTGGAGAATAGAAGAAAGGCCAGCTCACCTAGGAAACAAGAAGGAGATTTTTATGAGGAAATCTTTGGCGACATAGAGGCCAGATTATAGAGGGCATACTAAAGATAATTTTGATTTTAATCCAAGTGTGAAAGTAAGCCATGGGAAGTTATAAGCAAGAGGGAGACCTCACCTAGACTGCCTGGCTACCAAACTGTAGAAGATATGTATGAGCAAGAGAGGTAAGCAGGGCACCGAGGCTGCGGTAGAGATTAACAGGGAAGCAGGAGTGTGAGTCAGGAGGGTGTTGTGGCCATCTGGGTCCTCACCCAAGAATGAAATGTTGTTATGTGATTTGAGAGCTGTCTTTCTGTGTGTGGGCCACTTCTTGTGCCCCTAGACACTGGGCTCTCCTCAGTGGTAAACAATCTGATGGAAGGGCAAGGTGAGGATGGGAGGGGTTGTGGGAGGAAGAGCACAGAAATGAAGGGAAGAAGATTCCTAATAGAAGAGATGAAATAGAATCCAGTAAATCTGCTGAGCACTCAGCCCCATGCTGTGCCACCACTGGCCAGTAGAGGGCAGAGGTGGCCACAACAGATGGAAAACTAACACTTGATTCAAGCAACTTTGATATGGTGGAAAATTCTGCCCTTCAGCATTATCTAAAAAAAAATCAAAAATTGTATTTTTATAAAAGATTAAGAAATAAAGAATGGAGAAATAAATAAAATGTCAAAGAAAGTAGAGAAACAGAAAGTAGGGGAGAGAAAGGTAAAGCAACTTTGCAGGCTTATTCCTTGGAGGCTGTGGCGTGAGGAAGACTTAACTGGGAAGGGTAAAAAAAAAAAAGCTGGAGACTTGTCAGTAAGTCACAGGGACACAGATTTTGCATCAAAGCAGGAAGAACTCCATTAGAGTAAGAGTTGCTTCAGAGTGACCCAGTGATTTGGGGGAAAGATGGGCATCCAGTTAGCCTGGACGTGACAGTGGACATCCCTGGTCAGATGTCTCGCAGACACCCCGTCCAGCAACTTGCTCTTCCCCAGACGAGTTTAAGCTCCTGAACATCTCCTCGCCACTCCCTCCAGGAAGTCCACCCTCCATTCACTCACTTTCGCCAGAAACCCACGTCTCCTCCTTGACTGCTGCTTAACCTGCACCAGCCACCAGCAGCTCCAGCCACTCAGTCACCAGACCTGTCGGTTCTGTCCCCCCAAACAGCTGCCCTATCATCTCTCAATTGTTCCTACCATAGCTTTGTTCACATGCTGCTAAATTAAAAAATGGGCCAAAGACCTTCACAGACACCTCACTGAAGAGGTGGCAGGATGGCAGGTTAGCATAAGAGGCGCCAAGTCACATGTCTTAGGGAAATGCAAACTACAACCACAAGATGCCACTGAATACCTGTCACGGTGGCCAAAGTCCAGAATACTGATAACACCACATGCTGACACTTGGGCACTTGAAACAGCTCTGCAAACATCAGTGGGATGGTGTTTCACTAGCTGACACCCGCATTTCTCCCAAAGGTACATCAGATAAGAATTATTCAAGGTGACTTCCAACACCGACCTTCCTGCTCATCAGTTACCGCAGCCCTGGCTGTTCCTTCACCTGGAACGTTTTTGCCAGGTACCCTCATCTCTTGCAGCTAGCCAGTCAAAGGTCATCCAGAGAGTCCTGCCCTGCCCACCGGATGTTATAATCCCACTGCTTGCCACACTGGATCTCTCCTACTGTTTACTTGTTCTTTTTCCATAGCAAGCATCTCCTGGTATAAATGATATCATTTACTTATTTACTTTGCTTTGTTAATTTTCTGCCCCCTCTGATAGGTTGCAAGTGTCCCAAGATCAAAAAGCATTTATTTGTTCACTG